CGGGGCATGGCAAGGGGGATACCCCCCCGTTTAATTAGGAGGTATCTAGACCGCAACATCGCGATGGTCATGTTCCCGCACTGAGAACATGACTCATCCACGAGCGCTGCTTCAGCGTGCTGAAAGCCCAAGCACGAGACACAGCGATCGTGACCGTCAGATGAAGCCAGGAAACGACCACATCCAGAAACGCACGAGCGGGAAGCCATCTTTAAAAAGACGCCCGTCGCTCGTGGAGCTCTTTTAGAATTTGCTCTTTTAGAAAGGAAAAACACTCTTTTAGAGAGAGCGCTGAAGCGCCCAGGGGAGGTCGCGGCGGGACCGCAGAATGGAAGCTGCAGCTCGCCGAGGTTTCAGCAGCCTGGATGGCAACCCCCGCTGACACGCCGTAACACCAACGCCAGCTGTTTTCCAAACACTCGCGGAGATTCGTCTTGTAGAAGGCTCGGCTCCAAAGCGAAAAGCTGATGTGCGTTTGCACGCGCGCTCCTTTTATACCCGCGCTGCAGGGCGGGGTGCGCGTGGCGAAACACGCACGCCAACTGTCATTGGCTTGTTTAGTTAACACTCGAAGGTGATTGGGCTCTCAGGCGAGATCCCAATTCGTCAGTCACAACTGACGTAACGTCGAACGTGACTGACTGAAAGGGAACATTATATATGGTCCAAACACAGGTGGTTTTAGTGGTTGAGGGTCAAATTAATATTAGTCACAAACATATTCCATAATTAGCCAATAACACCGTTACATTCAGAAGTTGAATAGCAATAGCATCAAAATACAAACAAGTATGAATACACAAATTATGTATTCATAAATGTAACTGTCCTGTTCTCACTTAAACTTTCTTATTCTTTCTTTAAAACTTAGCTACAGAAGGACGTTTTGATGTGGTTTTATGGCCAACAATAAACAATGTAATCCTGAATTTGTCAGGTGTGCTTCAGCAGTTTGCAATCTCTGAGGCGACGCTGCTGGCCTGGAGCTCTATGGACGGCGAGAGCACAAGCGTTGGATCTAATCAGGGAAGCATAGCCCACCTGAGCGAGGCCAACCAGGAAAGCATCTCCAGCCGAGGTACTGACTACATTTCCCAGCATGCACCTGCAAGCTCAGAGAATTACTGTACCTCTTCCTACTGCGCTTTAGGCTGGAAATTTAGGAATAAAATCAATTTAGCAACAGAACTTCCGTCTCACAGTGTGAGCTCTGATGAGTGCTGCAATTATTCAGGCAACGTGCTGTCATAAACCACAATTAAACACATTCTCTCAACAACTTAGCTCATCTTTCCTTCTCAGCTCAAAGAATATGTGAAGAAGATATGGCTGAAATCCATGACTAATTCCATAACGACTGAAAAATTAGACATTTTCTTTTGTTTTCCTTTATTTATTTAGTCCAATGCTAAGAGGTTTCTCTAAGAAGAAAGCTTTCCATTGAAAGCCCCCTAGAGTGAGGGTGGGATTGCTATATTGCATTCGGAATGCAGTGCACATAGGGTTTTGAATAAATGAATACCTATAGGTCAGGGACCCGTGACTCTCAGGAGAACAAGAACTAATCCACTGAACAGTTCAGTACAGCCTTACAGACTCACATGAGAGCTCAGAACAACCAAAGCCATCTGCATGCCAAATGACAACATCATTTATGCTAAGGATTTAGCATAAATCAAAAATCTAAACCTCATTTTGCTTAATGAAGTACTGATTAGATGATCACCTCAACCAAATGTTTTTTTTTAATGAGGAAAGGTATAAAAACCACTGCTGTGGTCATCACTATCCTCGTGCAGTAGGACCAGCTGGATGGCAAAAACAGTGTTAGTAGCAACTCAAAAGTATTTGCAATCAAATAATAACTATTGACCATGCCAAAGGAGTTGAAAAGAAAAGTTGAGTGAGGAAAATAAGGGTTCAATTCTGGCTTTACTGGATACAGAGGGATACAGTAAGCATCAGGTTGCTTACATCCTTAAAATTTTAAAGACAGTGATTCATAAGAACAAGGTCAAGCTGTAGACATTAGGGACAACAAAGCTACAGACGGGAGAGGGTGAAAATGACTCTCCACTGTTGACCGCCAAATCATTTGAATGTCATTCAACAACTGTAGGACGACATCAAGTGTCCTAAAAAGAATGGCAAACGGCAGCTGGGGTGAAGTGCACAGCAAGGACGGTTGAAAACAGGGCTGAAAAGCTAGAAAAAAGCCCTTCATCAATGAGAAGCAAAGAAGAGCTAGGCTGAGGTTTGCAAAAGACCATGAGGACGGTTGAAAACAGGGCTGAAAAGCTAGAAAAAAAGCCCTTCATCAATGAGAAGCAAAGAAGAGCTAGGCTGAGGTTTGCAAAAGACCATAAGGACTGAACCGTAGAGGTTTGGAGTGAGGTCATCTTCTTTGATGAGTCCAATTTTCAGCTTTGCCCAACACCTGGTCGTCTAATGGTTAAACGGAGACCTGGAGAGGCCTACAAGCCACAGTGTCTCGCACCCACTGTGAAATTTGGTGGAGGATCTGTGATGATCTGGGGGTGCTTCAGCAAGGCTGGAATCAGGCACATTTGTCTTTGTGAAAGGCGCACGAATCAAGCCATGTACAAGGTTGCCCTAGAAGTAAACTTCCTTCTGCTCTGACAATGTTACCCAACTCTGAGGACTGGTTTTTCCAGCAGGACAACGCTCCCTGACACACAGCCAGGTCAATCAAAGTGTGGATGGAGGACCTCCAGATCAAGACCCTGTAGCATTGCCAGCCCAATCTCCAGACCTGAACCCCACTGAAAACCTCTAGAATGTGATCAAGAGGAAGATGGATGATCACCAGCCATCAAACAAAGCCGAGCTGCTTGAATGTTTGCGCCAGAAGTGGTATAAAGTCACCCAACATCAATGTGAAAGACTGGTGGAGAGCAGGCCAAGATGCATGAAAGCCCTGACTGAAAATCAAGGTTATTCCACCAAATTTCGGAACTCTTACTAAGTTAAAACATTAGTATTTTGTTGTTTAAAAATGAATATGAATTTGTTTTCTTTGCATTAATCGAGGTCTGAAAACACTGCATCTTTTTTGACCAGTTATTTTGACCAGTTGTCATTTTCCGCAAATAAATACTCTAAATGACAATTTGTTTATTTGGAATTTGGGAGAAATGTTGTCCAGAGAAACCGATAATTTTGCAGTGGTCTCTTAATTTTTTCTTTCCTGTCACTTTTGATCAATTTAATGCATCTTTGCTGAATAAAAGTTGAAATTTCTTTAAAAATATATTCTATTCTATTCTATCAAAAAGTATTACTAAAAAAATATTAACATATTATTAACATCAAACTTTTGAAAAGTTCAAACTTTTCAACTGTATCACTTTGGATAAAAGCATATGAATATGAATAAATGTAAATGTACATTACAGTGAAAAGTACTGATAAAAATTTAAAACAAATAAATGACTTTTTGTTTCCCAAAATGTGTGTGCTACTTGTATTTATGCTTATTAGTTTTATAGTATTGCATCATTCCTCTTGAATCACTTGTAATGAAATCATTTGTGAGTCAAGTTGTTTGCTGTAGAGCACAAATCAGTTATTTATGGGGTTTCATTCCAATTAGGATGCTGCCATAGGTCTATAGAGAGAAAAAGGGCAAGAGAAGAATAAACTCAGTGGGCAGTCTATGTACAAGTGAGTGTTATGCTACATTACAAAGCCATTTCCTCGGTAAATAAAGCATCTCATTTCTGCCCTGCCGGAGGGCTGAAATGAGTGAACACTCATTTTTATTTTACAATGATGGCCGTGGGGTATACTGAGGCAAGAGATTTCACAGACAGAAATAGAATGTGCAGTTATTATTATTCAACATTGTTTTATAATCGGATATAATTTAGAAAATATCGTGCCGTTGCATGCAGATGAGGCTGAAAAGTCACAGAATTTGGCTCAAAATGAAAATAATGGAAATTTTGAGGCTTTGTTATGGATGTGGGATCAAATATATTAACATCTGCACATTGTGTCCAATCAAAGCATCATAAAAGTCTTTTTAAGAGCTATGACTATGACATAAAAGTGAATCTAAAAGCAGCCAACATGTCAAATAATATCATTTATTTGACTTCTTTGATTTAATTTGACAACCCTTTATTTGTTTTACTAAAGAATATTTTCCTTTGAAGACTTTAGTTCGTACCTAATCCATATGCAAGACGCTGATCAATAATAATTGTTTATGGCTCTCTGGAATACTTGATTCTGATTGGTTTTGGTAATGTATTTCCTTCATACTGTAACTGTGTTAGTTTAATTTCTCTCATGTTACTCTGGGTTCTCTTTCATCTAACATAATGAAAGAATTTCAACTCAGATCAATATTTCATGTCCATTTATTTATTTATTTGGTAAGTAGCCATATAATAATCACCAGACGACAACTCAGATCAGCACAGGCTGTGAGGAAAATGATCTGAGATTTAGAACTAGGATAAAATATACAGAATGTTACCCTTGAAGTTTGTAATATTTTCTTTCTTTTTCTCTGTCTCTTTCAGACCAGATAGTGCACCATTCTTCTGCAGAGGTGTGGCCTCACAATTACGTCTCCCAGGGTCTTTATTGCCTTTCTTCCTCTGATGCTTGGGAGCCAATTAGTAATGAACAGTCAGGTGTGGCCTCTCCTGCCACCGGTTCATATGTCATGGCTGTCGGGACTGAGGGAGGATATGACCCAAATTCAGCAGCTCACTTCCTGTCACAACAGCAACAGCAGCAGCAGTATCAGAACCAGTTTCAGCAGATCCAGCACCTGCACCAGATCCATCAATACCAGCAGCAACAGCTCCTGCAGTATCAACAACAGCAACAGGTGAGTGAGAACACTACAACTCCCATAAGCCCCTGCAACAATAACAGGTGCTTTACAGGTGAGTCATAAAGCTACAAATCCCATAAGGCCTGTTTCAGACTGCATGTGTAAGCAGTGCGTGAGCTGTGCATTTTTATTTCATCACCCACATTAACAGATCTATTCATTTATTTAAAAGTGCAATTCAGTGACTTGCACCTCCTCTATGATCAGAATGTTTGTAATCCTGAATTCAAATTCATTTTGATTTTTTTATGGGCATGAAGTCAAAAATGTTAGTGTGACACAAGTGTCCAGATATCATAATAAATAAATAAGATTTAAGATCAGTTCTTGAAAAGAAACCATTCAGTTGTTTGACATATTCTTTTATTCTTTTTTTCTTAGAAAAATAAATAAATAAAATATGAAATAATGGTTTAAAAAAGAAGAAAAAATAAAAAGAAAAAATGGTAACACTTTACGATAAGGTCTTATTAGTTATTTAGTTAATTAACTTTAACTTTAAAGGATTTTTTAATCTTTATTAACATTAGTTAATAAAAATAACACTGTTTATTGTTAGTTAATATTAGCTCACGTTCATTAAATAATATTAACAGATACAACTTTTAATTTTAATTAAACATAAACTAAGATGAATTAATCTTTAAAAAGGTTAATAATCTTCAAAACGATGAATAAATCTTATTTGTTAACGGTAGTTAATTAACTAACAAAAAGCAATACACGTTACTGTATTTTTTTAATCTTTATTAACATTAGTTTAATCAAAAACAACATTGTTTATTGTTATTTCATATTAGCTCATGTTCATTAAATAATATTAACGTATACAACTTAATTTGAACAATTTATTAGTAAATGTTGAAATTAACATGAATAATAAATCTTAAATAAAATATTTTTCATTGTTAACTAATGTTAACAACCGGAACCTTAATGTAAAATATTATTGGAAAAATGTTAATAAAACTCGCAATAATCATTTTATAATTTATGGCCATTATGAAATTCTCAACTCACATTATTTTGAGAATAATAGAAATCACATTATTTTTTGTACAAAGCTTTTTTATGTAGCAGAATCTCTGCATCATCATCTCCTGTAATAGTAACAGAGTTGTCATAAAATGTATCTTCCATATGCCATGTGCTGCAACAGATCTTATGCTAGTATCAACAACAGGTGAGTTACAAAACTGCCATTTCAATTAGCATCTACTGCAACGACATCTCTTGCTCTGCTGACTGCAGCATCATGTTGGGGTTGAACAGCACAGGTCCCAGTGGCCATTTCAACAGCAGCACCAGGATCGGCAGTAAAAACTCAATCAGGTTCCATCATTCAGCCTTTAACTGGAAGCCATTGATCGTCACAATAATTGAGGTCTCACTGGATCAAATGGGGAATTAAACACTACAAATCCTATCAGTAACACAATAGAGCACAAGTCGGGTTCTAAAAGTAAATAAAAAAATTTACTAAAAAATAAAAAAAATTATGTATAAACGTTTCAAGACCTACCATGAGCTCTGTGACTGCAAAATGATGATATATGCTTCCGTAGAAGGCATTGTTCACTGTGATTTCAGCTTGATGTTTGATGTTTTTGCCAAAAATGTGCAGCAGTGATTGCCCATTCCCATGAAACATTGCAAATAAAACATCTATTTGTATAAGATGGGGTAAGAAAAAACTAAATTGTCGGATGAAATAGATGGATGGATGGATGGATGGATGGATGGATGGATGGATAGATAGATAGATAGATAGATAGATAGATAGATAGATAGATAGATAGATGATATAATTGTTTTTGCTTTAAGCATAAACCTCACTAAATTTGTTTACTTTTAACTGAAAATTGTCAAATTAAACTCAAGTAAAAGCATTAAAGCATGTTTAGATACTTTTATTTGAAAATGACAAAACTGTACAGTAAGAATGTTTTCTAAATATATGATGATACAGTATAAACATTGTATATGTGTTTGCTTTATAGCAAATATATTATCTAATTAAACTACTGACATATGATCATTATATATACTATAATTTCTGATCAGTTATTGCTATTGTTTTATGAGATGCTTAGTTCATTGCTTATAATATTTTTTAATAAATATGCAAATTTATTTATTTATTTTGTTTAAATCAAAGTTTGTAATTTTGGTTGCTGGTTGGTTTGGTTCATGTGAATTTTTTGGAATGGATAACATGAATGGGAAAAAGAGGCAGCTGAAAGAGTGGCTTGCGCTCTGTTACCGCAATGGAAACTTGAGCTTTTTTTCGGTCTATTTGCAGATCTTGGAGCAAAGACTACAGAGTGCCACTCAGTCTTTACAAGCTACTCCCAACAGCACCATCCACAGCCTGCCTCCCCTCACTCACCCGCCATTAGTGGATCTGTGGGGGGCAGTGCAGACAGAGGCCTATCAGGCAGACATGGTGGGCTACATGGGTATGCCTGTAGCAGTAGATGGAAATCTAACAGCCCCCTCAGAGGAGGTGACGACAGATCACTCACCTTTACTGGAAGCCCAGGAGGAGGAAGAGATCAAAGTGAGTTAATAATAATAATAATAATAAAATAAAACGTGCAGGGGCACTTAAATGACACTTAAGCCAAATATCTGAATGTTTTTGCACTAAAAACAAAATATCAAGTGATATCTGCTAGACTTTTTCTCAAAACTAACTTTTCTAGAAATCTCTTGACCAACTGGTCCCAGCATAATTGTTAGTGTATGTATGAAGTCAGCAATCTCAAGTTTACGCAGACGTCATAACAGAGTAACCACAGGTGTAGTTCATCACATTAACTATGAACATAATCCACTTACAATTGACAACTACACTGAGTCTAAAATCAGTGATGGTGTGGTTAATTAAAACGATCAAAAGAAGTTTTTGTTCATTGCAATAAACCTCCAATAATCTCCAATAAAAGAGCTTTGTGCTTCTGATAGGAAACAAAGCCTCATCTTTCAAATTCTGTCCATTCTATCATGAAATTCAAACAATGAATGCAGCTTTGATGCTTTTAAATGTGTCGAGACAGAACGCTGTAGTGCCACAGTTCAAGCGGCAGCGTCTCTTCAACTTTAATACAAGTTATGGCATGAAATAAACATGAATAGAACAGCATCTCAACAGACAGTTAATATGAAAACATTTTTTTTTTTTTAAATGCTATTTCTGTCAGCAGCTAGAAAATGAGAAGTTTTCTATAACTCCTCTCACTGTTGGAATCAGGTATGAGTCACAGTTTAAATCAGTTCTTACAGCTACAGTGTGCAACTTTTCTAGTGCTGAAGTGTGTAATTTCTGTGCCAGCAGCATCACCAAAAGAAACTGCAAAAATAATGACTGTTTCAGACAGGTTTTTTTAAAACTCCCCCCTGCTGTTATTGGTCAGGCCAATGGATAATCCCGCCCCAACAACAATCAACAATCAGTGCCGTTTTTTAATAATGCGCATGTGCATAAATGTGTAAGGGAACCTATTAATACTTCACCATTCACCTGTGAGTGACATCAATAACAGCAGGCCTATGTTGTTGAACCAGCATGGTTCAAATAATGGAAGTACGACCATGTTACTACAGTTTCGTCATGCTTGGGAGCCAATTAGTAATGAACAGTCAGGTGTGGCCTCTCCTGCCACCGGTTCATATGTCATGGCTGTCGGGACTGAGGGAGGATATGACCCAAATTCAGCAGCTCACTTCCTGTCACAACAGCAACAGCAGCAGCAGTATCAGAACCAGTTTCAGCAGATCCAGCACCTGCACCAGATCCATCAATACCAGCAGCAACAGCTCCTGCAGTATCAACAACAGCAACAGGTGAGTGAGAACACTACAACTCCCATAAGCCCCTGCAACAATAACAGGTGCTTTACAGGTTAGTCATAAAGCTACAAATCCCATAAGGCCTGTTTCAGACTGCATGTGTAAGCAGTGCGTGAGCTGTGCATTTTTATTTCATCACCCACATTAACAGATCTATTCATTTATTTAAAAGTGCAATTCAGTGACTTGCACCTCCTCTATGATCAGAATGTTTGTAATCCTGAATTCAAATTCATTTTGATTTTTTTATGGGCATGAAGTCAAAAATGTTAGTGTGACACAAGTGTCCAGATATCATAATAAATAAATAAGATTTAAGATCAGTTCTTGAAAAGAAACCATTCAGTTGTTTGACATATTCTTTTATTCTTTTTTTCTTAGAAAAATAAATAAATAAAATATGAAATAATGGTTTAAAAAAGAAGAAAAAATAAAAAGAAAAAATGGTAACACTTTACGATAAGGTCTTATTAGTTATTTAGTTAATTAACTTTAACTTTAAAGGATTTTTTAATCTTTATTAACATTAGTTAATAAAAATAACACTGTTTATTGTTAGTTAATATTAGCTCACGTTCATTAAATAATATTAACAGATACAACTTTTAATTTTAATTAAACATAAACTAAGATGAATTAATCTTTAAAAAGGTTAATAATCTTCAAAACGATGAATAAATCTTATTTGTTAACGGTAGTTAATTAACTAACAAAAAGCAATACACGTTACTGTATTTTTTTAATCTTTATTAACATTAGTTTAATCAAAAACAACATTGTTTATTGTTATTTCATATTAGCTCATGTTCATTAAATAATATTAACGTATACAACTTAATTTGAACAATTTATTAGTAAATGTTGAAATTAACATGAATAATAAATCTTAAATAAAATATTTTTCATTGTTAACTAATGTTAACAACCGGAACCTTAATGTAAAATATTATTGGAAAAATGTTAATAAAACTCGCAATAATCATTTTATAATTTATGGCCATTATGAAATTCTCAACTCACATTATTTTGAGAATAATAGAAATCACATTATTTTTTGTACAAAGCTTTTTTATGTAGCAGAATCTCTGCATCATCATCTCCTGTAATAGTAACAGAGTTGTCATAAAATGTATCTTCCATATGCCATGTGCTGCAACAGATCTTATGCTAGTATCAACAACAGGTGAGTTACAAAACTGCCATTTCAATTAGCATCTACTGCAACGACATCTCTTGCTCTGCTGACTGCAGCATCATGTTGGGGTTGAACAGCACAGGTCCCAGTGGCCATTTCAACAGCAGCACCAGGATCGGCAGTAAAAACTCAATCAGGTTCCATCATTCAGCCTTTAACTGGAAGCCATTGATCGTCACAATAATTGAGGTCTCACTGGATCAAATGGGGAATTAAACACTACAAATCCTATCAGTAACACAATAGAGCACAAGTCGGGTTCTAAAAGTAAATAAAAAAATTTACTAAAAAATAAAAAAAATTATGTATAAACGTTTCAAGACCTACCATGAGCTCTGTGACTGCAAAATGATGATATATGCTTCCGTAGAAGGCATTGTTCACTGTGATTTCAGCTTGATGTTTGATGTTTTTGCCAAAAATGTGCAGCAGTGATTGCCCATTCCCATGAAACATTGCAAATAAAACATCTATTTGTATAAGATGGGGTAAGAAAAAACTAAATTGTCGGATGAAATAGATGGATGGATGGATGGATGGATGGATGGATGGATGGATAGATAGATAGATAGATAGATAGATAGATGATATAATTGTTTTTGCTTTAAGCATAAACCTCACTAAATTTGTTTACTTTTAACTGAAAATTGTCAAATTAAACTCAAGTAAAAGCATTAAAGCATGTTTAGATACTTTTATTTGAAAATGACAAAACTGTACAGTAAGAATGTTTTCTAAATATATGATGATACAGTATAAACATTGTATATGTGTTTGCTTTATAGCAAATATATTATCTAATTAAACTACTGACATATGATCATTATATATACTATAATTTCTGATCAGTTATTGCTATTGTTTTATGAGATGCTTAGTTCATTGCTTATAATATTTTTTAATAAATATGCAAATTTATTTATTTATTTTGTTTAAATCAAAGTTTGTAATTTTGGTTGCTGGTTGGTTTGGTTCATGTGAATTTTTTGGAATGGATAACATGAATGGGAAAAAGAGGCAGCTGAAAGAGTGGCTTGCGCTCTGTTACCGCAATGGAAACTTGAGCTTTTTTTCGGTCTATTTGCAGATCTTGGAGCAAAGACTACAGAGTGCCACTCAGTCTTTACAAGCTACTCCCAACAGCACCATCCACAGCCTGCCTCCCCTCACTCACCCGCCATTAGTGGATCTGTGGGGGGCAGTGCAGACAGAGGCCTATCAGGCAGACATGGTGGGCTACATGGGTATGCCTGTAGCAGTAGATGGAAATCTAACAGCCCCCTCAGAGGAGGTGACGACAGATCACTCACCTTTACTGGAAGCCCAGGAGGAGGAAGAGATCAAAGTGAGTTAATAATAATAATAATAATAAAATAAAACGTGCAGGGGCACTTAAATGACACTTAAGCCAAATATCTGAATGTTTTTGCACTAAAAACAAAATATCAAGTGATATCTGCTAGACTTTTTCTCAAAACTAACTTTTCTAGAAATCTCTTGACCAACTGGTCCCAGCATAATTGTTAGTGTATGTATGAAGTCAGCAATCTCAAGTTTACGCAGACGTCATAACAGAGTAACCACAGGTGTAGTTCATCACATTAACTATGAACATAATCCACTTACAATTGACAACTACACTGAGTCTAAAATCAGTGATGGTGTGGTTAATTAAAACGATCAAAAGAAGTTTTTGTTCATTGCAATAAACCTCCAATAATCTCCAATAAAAGAGCTTTGTGCTTCTGATAGGAAACAAAGCCTCATCTTTCAAATTCTGTCCATTCTATCATGAAATTCAAACAATGAATGCAGCTTTGATGCTTTTAAATGTGTCGAGACAGAACGCTGTAGTGCCACAGTTCAAGCGGCAGCGTCTCTTCAACTTTAATACAAGTTATGGCATGAAATAAACATGAATAGAACAGCATCTCAACAGACAGTTAATATGAAAACATTTTTTTTTTTTTAAATGCTATTTCTGTCAGCAGCTAGAAAATGAGAAGTTTTCTATAACTCCTCTCACTGTTGGAATCAGGTATGAGTCACAGTTTAAATCAGTTCTTACAGCTACAGTGTGCAACTTTTCTAGTGCTGAAGTGTGTAATTTCTGTGCCAGCAGCATCACCAAAAGAAACTGCAAAAATAATGACTGTTTCAGACAGGTTTTTTTAAAACTCCCCCCTGCTGTTATTGGTCAGGCCAATGGATAATCCCGCCCCAACAACAATCAACAATCAGTGCCGTTTTTTAATAATGCGCATGTGCATAAATGTGTAAGGGAACCTATTAATACTTCACCATTCACCTGTGAGTGACATCAATAACAGCAGGCCTATGTTGTTGAACCAGCATGGTTCAAATAATGGAAGTACGACCATGTTACTACAGTTTCGTCATGACTAGCTAGTTAACATCTCCAACAAGGCATCATACGGTAGTTAAACAACAAGTTACATAGTTGTATTGGAAATGCATTCCTGGTTGGGTAGATCACACAAAACATTTTTGATGGCGCTACAAAGTTTACACATTTCATGAGAAACAACTTATAAATGACTTAACTGAACTACGGCAAGTGTCGCTAAAACAACTTTCAACAATGATCTGTTTATTTGAGTCCCAAATGTTATATGTTAAATGTTATCCCAACACAAAACCTGTTCAAGTCTCATTCCAGCCACTAAACAAAATTACAAAACAAATGTTTTGAAAGTTGTTTTGTGAATTTGTTTAGTGCCACTGTTGGCACAGAAATTACACACTGCAGCTGTAAACAGGAAATGACATGTACCCAGTCTAACATCCAGCCTCTTTTCCAGGAGGAAGAGGTAACGTTATGTATGGAACCAGAACCAGTAACATTAATTCCATCTCCAGTAACGCAGGAAGTGACCTCGACGGGAGGAAGCAGTCCAGGCCAAGCCCCTGGAGAATTCAGCACAGAGCGCAAGGCGTTTGATGTCTCACCATCTGTAATTGAAGAGCTTGAGGAAAAGGAGGAGTCAGAATCATCATCTGTAGACGTCACAGCAACCAACTAAGTGGCCAGCATGAGACTTAAGCTGGTTAGACATTTCAATCAGCATAATCAAACAATACCAACTCCTATTTCAGGAATCAAACACCATTGTGATGGAATTCAAGTGACTGCTTGAACCCAACATGGAAAAGTGGATGTCTGAAAAAGGAAGGCACAGAATGGGAATGACAAATCCTTGGAACTGGGAAAGGAGAGAAGGAGGAATACTCACCGTGTTTGGAATGGAGTGATAGAGTTGGAGGTATGTAATTCAGGACGATGAATATGAAGAACATTCGCTTAAATATGTGCATGCTTTTACAAGGAGTGTTGGCACTCATTATTCAAAATAAAGAAACTATAGTTAATAAACCATAATGATTATAATAATACTATTATTTTATAAGAAAACGACAACAAAAAATAAATATACAATTGTAAAATAGACAGTAAACACAAGCTTTTTCAACCCATGCCCTTCAGAACATCAGTTCCCACAAAGACACTTATCATAAGAGATCACATACACTCAATACAACACAAATTCTCTCTTTTCCTCTTCGGTTTCCGCCCTGTATACTTCCAAACACACCCCTTTATATGTAAAAGACTGGATTTGGCTGTTTATGTCACTGTTGGGAGAAACACAGGTTCAATACAGAAGTTTCTGTGGTGTAAAACATAAAAATCAATTAACTGAAACCAACCACTCATCTATACAGTTCTGTCGGCTGTTTATTCAATATGTACGGTATTCAGACCCTCATAAACTCAAGCAAATAGATTCAAAAAGTTTGGAGTCAGTACGATTTTTTCAATGTTTTTGGAAGAACCCTCTTTTCACCAGGGCTGCATTATTTGATCAAAAATGCAATATAAAAACAGTAATATTATGAAGTATTATTACAATATAACATAACTGTTTCTATTTTAGTATTTTTCTAAATTGTATTTTATTCCTGTGATGGCAAAGCTGAATTTTCAGCAGCCATTACTCCAGTCTTCAGTGTCACATGATCTGTCAAAATCATTCAAAATCATTATCAATCTTGAAAACAGTTGTGCTGCTTATTATTTTTGTGGAAACCGTGATAGATAGATAATGAATAAGAAAGTTCAAAACAACAGCATTTATTTTCAATAGAAATCTCATAGATATGTCTTTAGTGTTACTTTGGATCAATTTAATGCATCTTTGCTTAATAAAATAATTCATTTCTTTCAAAAAACTTACTGACCCCAAACTTTTCAATGGTAGTGTAAAAACACAAATATATACACCTATACCTGTGATGTTCTCTCATACTGCCATACAAAGGAGAAATGCAGTAACTACAGCAAAACTAGAACTGAGAAAAATTCAATTGGTTGATTTATTGACTGATTTGATTTTCAATTTTAATACTGTTTTGGCTTTGTATGGCAGCATAGCAACGTTTACTCTTCTTAAATTAAGCTAATTATACTGATTAAATCGCCCAAACTCTTACAGACAGCTTTTAACATTTTTAGATTTTATTTGCCACATAATTAGACCCATTATTATTTAGCATTTATTTTAATTTATTTTATATTTCATTTATTTATTTTTAGTTAATTTTTGTAGTAGTAATATGAACTTTTTCACGCGCACACATACTCACGGATATATTTCATACTGGACTGTAACATAGCGTGCTTCCCTCTCTGTGTGTCATTTGGCATGCATGATGTTTGTCAGTGTACTCTGGAGTCCTATACAAAATTGTATAGATATTTGCACTGGACCTCAGTACTCTGAGCTGAGCTTGAGACTGACTCTGTGAGATCTGTGTGTTTAGTGACT